TTATTTATTTATTTATTTATTTATTTATTTATTTATTTATTTATTTATTTGTATATATATTGTGGGTTTAGTGGGTTTCTTTGGTTCCTGGCGAGCACGAGGATAAGTGCTTTATCCAAACAAAAAACACAAACACAATAATGCGGGAGAGACTCCCGAAGAAAAGAAAACAATTAATAACGAAACCAATGGCGGCGGTCCGCCCTTATATAGGCGTTCCGCCGCGCCGTAATCGATAACGAGTAGATCACCCTAAAAATTTGACCATCGACCATTTGACTTGCTGGTCCTTCGACTCTACACGCCCCTCTGTTGGAAAGCCAGGCTCCGACGGCTTACAATTGCTTTGTTGTCCCGTTTCTGCTCCATGAGGTGCGCGTGACGTCTCCGTTCGGTTTTGGCGTCTCGTACATATGGTGCTGGTGTCGGCATCGTCTTTCTTGTCTCGCTTGGCTGGAAAAAATATTGGTAACGATAGTGTGCTCATGGCGAATTTCCTGACTTGATTCAGGAATACCGCACACTGCCATGGATGGAATCTGTCATCACCACGTCTTGGGCTGATTCCGAGGCTCGTAGCAGGGTGTCCCAATGGCACCGTCATGTCGATCGTTCCATACGCATCGACTACACGTGCATCGAATCCTCTAGCGGGTCCGGTAAGCACCTCCACGACTTCTGCACAAACCTTCTTTACGGCATGCCACATCTCGCTACGGCGTTCCTCATACGGCGGGGGGTACATGTTCAATGTTCCTCCACCTTGCAAGTGACGATCCAACGCGTGCATGGCGTGGTTGAGGTGGAGAGTGGCCGGCATGCTGTCTGGCCAGACCAACACAATAGCAGCAGAGATCGACTGAGCGTTGCATTGTGAAGCGAGTCCGTCCAACGTGGAATATACCATAATTCTGACTTTGTCGCCTTCTTCAAGGTCCTTCTCCGCTCGAAGGAACGACAGTGGCAGAGCTACGATTGTGGGATTTGCCGGCGAATCATTGTATTCTCTTAGTATCTGATCCACGCGTTCGATGGCCTGCGCATAATAAGACTCGACGTGGTATCCAGGAAACGCTGGAAACAGTGGCGGATGAACGATGCGCTTCCATTGCGCATTCCTCAAGGCAGTACTGAACGCGTAACAACTGGAGCGGTGAGCAGCAATCGCGTGAGCGAATCCAAGGACAGTCAAGTATTTCGACTCTTTCGCTAGGAGCTCTTCCTCTTTGTGACGATCTCGCCAGAACGGATCCAGTACAATAGATGCGACGTTTGCCAACCCAAACATGTTGTTGACTGGTTTCGACCTCGCCAAATCGGAACGTAGACTGGGCAGGGCAGTTTGAGCTTTGGTGCGGAAGATGTTACACGTGCATGGATGGAACAGATGCAGTGGATCCTCCTGCGGAGGCCCAACGTCGGTTCTGAAACAGGCTGCTTTAGTGTAAATACTTCTACTCTTCTTGGGTCTGCCCCTTTTCCCTCTCTGTCTGACAGTTTGTACCGGTTCATTGCCCATGCCTACCGGCAACTTCCTAAGTAAATCAAACTGCACTTTTAGCGGCTCAGCGTTACCCGCTATAGGGGTGACCAGTGCGCTGTTGTCGCTGACATCAATGACCCTGAATGGTCCATTTCACCCATTTACCAGTTTAGGATGAGTCGACGAGGCTTTTTCCATGGGGATCCGCATGTACGCCCTCTCTCCTACGGCGAAAGGTCGCTCCGAGACCTTTTTCACCTTGTCGTAGTATTGTTTCATGCGTTCGCGAACTTTTTGATTTTGCTCACGTGCAACGTCTCGAATCATTTCCAACCCAGTGGCTACTTCATTGATATAGGAATGCATGTCTATCATGTATTTACTAATGCGTCGTTCGGGAAGCGAACTCCATGGTACTGTGCAGTCATACCCATGTAATAAAAAGAATGGGGATTCGCCAGTGGAATCATGTGGTGTCGAGTTATATGCAATCATGCAGTGAGGTAGAAGTTTATCCTATTCCATTGGTTGGTCCACTTTTTTTCTCAGCAGTCCGATTATGGTTTTGTTGAACCTTTCGGTGAGCCCATTTTCTCGTGGATTGTATCCTTTGGGGAATATTTGCTGGATTCCCATTATCTGTGTGAGTTCTGACATTAATTTATTATCGAATTTGGCACCTTGATCTGACAATATGCTGCCCGGGAATCTACAACCGTCTGCCATCCAGCGGTCGAATAGTGTTTTCGCCACTGTTTCAGCTGATTTTGATGGCAATGGGTAAGCACCTCCGTATTTTGTGAAGTGGTCTATCACTGTCAGCAAATATTTATTACCGTCCGTAGTAGTAAGGCCCATTTCTAGTATGTCAATGCCCATCATTTCGAACGGTTTTGTCGTGATAATTGGTTTGAGTGGAGGCGTAATTCCTGGTTTTTGATTGAAAAGCATGCACTTTTTGCGTTCCTCTGACCACAGGAACCCGTCTCTTTTCATGGATTCCCAAAATACGCGTTTCATTAGAGTTCTCAACACTTTGCGCGGACCGAAATGTCCTGCTAGTAGTGATGCGTGCGCATCCAGAAACACTTTTTTCCTATGAGCCTGAGGCACTACCTTGCGGAATTCACCGTTGTCAATAAAGGTAAGGTAGCTTTCGTGCATGGCGAAATCTGCTACCTTGTATTTGCGGATTTGATTTGGGAAAATCACGTGTTCCGTTATTCTGTCCTGTTCCAGATTTTCGATAATATTTTTGTAGACTACGTCGTTGCGTAGTTCCTTGGTCCACGTCGGTTCTTCGGTTACGGCCGCTACGATATTCTCATTAGACCATACATTTGCGCTTAGTGCGAGGGAGTTGTCGTCAACAGGACCACGACTTAGTGCGTCGGCTGCTTTATTGGCTGCTCCTTTAAGGTATATTACTTTGACGTTGTATTTCTGTACTTCTAACGCCCAGCGCAAAACTCGGTTTGAGACGTCAGTTCTTGTAAAAAGTGCCGTCAATGGCTGGTGATCTGTATAGATCTCTATTTTCAGATGAACATGTGGAACTTCCCTAGTGCAAAGACAACAGATAACGCTTCTAAGTCTGTTATGTGGTAGTTTTTCTTATTCTTTGTGAGGCTCTTCGATGCGAAGAATATGGGGTGCAAGAACCCATCCTCACCTTCGGTTTTGTGCCCACCCTTGCCGCGTCGATGTGTGGTTGTGCAAGTACTGGTGCTTTGGTAATGATTTCTTTCAAGTTGCTGAACGCTTCCCGTCTCTGTTGTGTCCAGGTGTATGGTTCTTTCTCTGAGGTCATTTCATGCAATGGTGCAGCGACTTTTGAAAATCCCAGGACGAACTTTCGATAGTAAGAACACATTCCGAGGAAGGTTCGCATGTTCTCTATTTTTGAAGGTTCTGGATAATTCACGATCGCAGCAACCTTCTGTGGATCCATGTGTAGGTCATCTTGGTCAATTACATGACCGAGGAACTGTACCGCAGTTTCCATAAGGAAGCACTTCCTAGGACTCAGTTTCAGATGCGCTTTGCGTAAAGCGATGTAAACCTTTTCAAGCATTTCCAGATGTCTTTCATAAGTGCTAGCTGCAACCATTATGTCATCGAGATAGCAAAAAACTTCATCCGTTAGAAGATGACCCAGGACTATATGCATCAACCTCTGATAAACCGCTGGTGATGATGCTAATCCAAACGGAAGTACTTTGAATTGAAAGGGTCCTTCTGTGGTGATAAAAACGCTCTTTTCTTTAGCGTTTTCAGTTAGCTTTATTTGCCAGTATCCGGGAGCAAGATCGAGTGTTGAGAAGTATCGCTTGTTTTTGAGATTTTGCAAGATTGTATCTATGGTAGGCAATGGATAATTACGGATCTTCGTAACCTGATTGAGTTTCCTGCTCTCCACACACGATCTCAAAGATCCATCTTTCTTTTGAACGAGAACTATTAGTGATGCCCAACTGGACTCACTGCTCTCAATTATATTCTGCTCTTGCAGGTTTGCAAGTATCTTGCGGAGTTCCAGTCTAGTTCCCAAAGGTACTGGCCTTGCCTTCTGGCGGATCGGTGGTGCCTATTCAGTTTCAATGTCGTGTTCCACTATAGACGTCTGTGTCAACTCTTGATCATTAACTGCAAACACATCGCTGTATTTGTTTACCAGCTCTTCTAGGAGCTTTTGGTTTTCGTTATTTCGTTTGGAGTTACTGATGAGTTTCCACAACTTTTTTTCACATTCCAGTACGTTGGTTGAAGTAAGTTCGTGCATATTGGCGTGTTCTGCCGCTGGTTGCTCTACTAACAGGCTCGCATCCCAGTTCCCGATTTCTTCTCCTGCGCGGAATATTTTGGCCTCACGCAGAGTGTTGGTCACTAGCATTTCAACGACAGGCTTGCTGTTGTGGCATATGCTGTCCGGAACTATACTACAGTCCGACCAGAGGATCTGGTCCCGATTCGTTCTTGGCATCGCAACAGCTACAGTTTTTGTTTCTCCCGGACAGATATATACTCGTTGTACTACTACAGCTGGTTGCGTTTTAGCATTGTACCTGCTAAACTTCCTGTTTTGCTCCGGGAAGCTTCGCTGATTGTGACCTCTTCTTCCAGGGTCTTTCTGTTCCACTGTGTCGCTGTGTTCTTTCAGCACTAAGTTCAATTTGTCTAGCACATTAGTTCCGAGAATTATCATATTTTCATTTGATTTCCTTACAAACATAGCTACTCTTTGTGGTTTAGCATTCTTGGCCTTTATTGTGAGACGAATCGCACCTTTGAACTCCGCTGGATTTCCTGATGCGTCATAAATTGTTCTCTGATTAGGAATTGGAACTTCTTCTACGTCTTCATCGATGTCGAATCCTGCTCTTTGCGCTTCTCGCAACATTTTTAGCGGTAGATACTGATTTGGGATCCAGTATCCAGTAAAGCACTCCTAGACATGCCCAATAGATCCACTTTGGCTACTGTTTGTTCGCCGGAGAGCTCATTTTGTGCAGTCACTTTGACTTGGATCTCTTCACATACCCACTTATTTAGTGTGGTGGTAAAAGTCTGGACTTTTGGACCTTCCTCTTTCTGATTACGACTGGAAGTTTGTCTGGTGAAAGGTGCAGAATTGCTTGGTGGGGTGCGCTTGCGCTTGTAACGCCGAAGACTCCTTGTTGCGAGCACTTTTAGCTTTCCAACAGTCTCGTTTGAAATGCCCTTGCTTTTTGCAAAACGAACATGCTACAGGAGGAGTCTGGGGTTCGTTCTTGTAATTCTCAGTAGAAGCCATATAATCGCGGTTTCAGCTTTGTCTAGAGCTTAAAGGCACTGTTCACGAACAAAATGGTTTCGGAGATTTGCACATGGTTTGAATTCGACACCCCCTCTGATACCATTTGTGCAGGAATGAGGTCGGAAAACGGTCTGGATAGGGCACAATAAGGGCAGGAACAGTGGGGGACGGGAGGCCTCCGCCCCTCGCTAGGCTGACCACGAAATCTTATTGCCGTTCATCACTTTCGCATTGGGCGAAGTTGTCTGCTTGGGTGTGTTGTCTGCTATTGCAGACATTGCGTCGCCTTCCTGCACTCGCCCGAACACTCCCTTAACCCACGTTCTTCCAATGTGAAACTCGTCCAACCCCCCTTTCCAGCTATTTTTTGACCCTTTCTATTTCTTTTTGTTCATCTTTTTTTTGCGTTTTTTTTT